GGCAATCCCAAGGGGGGAGGAAGCAGGAGCCGTGGGCACCGAAGCGAGCAGACAGAGGGCAAGGACGTGGAGAACAGGGAGAGAGAGAAACTATTCCTGGAAGGGAGAGGCGCAGGGGTAACGGGACGATGGCGCTGCTTCCCTCACTGGTGGCGGCCTCACGTTCATGGCCCAGAGTCTCCCACAGTTTCAGCCGCTGACACCCCAGGCCCTGGCAGGCCCACGGTTCCTGTTCTAATGCATCCCAGGTGTGTCTCCCCTCCCCTCGTGTATCCTCACACCGCCAAGAAGAATGCAGGCCTCCAGGGGCACCTGGGTGGTGGCCCAGGGGGTTAGGCTCCTGCTCTTGGTTTTGGCTCAGGTCATGATCTCAGAGTCGTGAGATCGAGGCGGCCGAGGCCCGATTTGGTCTCTGGGCTGGGTGTGGAGCCTGCTTAGGATTCTTTCTCCTTCATCCGCTCCCCGCCTCTCCATGTGTGGGTTTGCTCTCTCTATCTATCTCTCAAAAAACAAAAATAGGGCGCCTGGGTGGCTCAGATGGGTAAGCGTCTGCCTTCGGCTCAGGTCATGATCCCAGAGTCCTGGGGTCGAGTCCCGCATTGGGCTCCCTGCTCAGCCGGGAACCTGCTCCTCCCTCTGCTTCTCTCTCTGTCTCTCATGAGAAAATAAATAAAATCTTTAAAAAAAAACCCAAATAAACATACAATTGGCTGAATTCCTGTATCAGTTCTAGCAATTTTTTGTTGGCGTCTTTGGGTTTTCTACATAGAGTATCATGTCCTCTGAAAAGTGTGAAAGTTTGACTTCTCCTTTACCGATATGGATGCTTCTATTTCTCTTTGTTGTCTGATTGCTGAGGCTAGAACTTCCAATACTGTGTTGAATGGCTGTGGTGAGAGAGGACATCCCCGTCGTGTTCCTGACCCTAGGGGGAAAGCTCTTAGTTTTTCCCCATTGAGGATGATGTTCACTGTGGGTTTTTTAATATAGCTTTTATGTTGTGGTAAACTCCCTCTATCCCTCCACCGCAGAGGGTCTTTGTCAAGAAACGATGCTGTATTTTGTCAAATGCTTTTTCTGCATCTATTGAGAGGATCATATGGTTCTTGTCCTTTCCTTTATTGACATGGTGTATCACACGGATTGATTTGTAGAAGTTGAACTACCCTTGCAGCCCAGGGATAAATCCCACTTGGTCATGGTGAATAAGGCTTTTAATGTACTATTGGATCCTACTGGCTAGGATTTTGGTGAGAATTTTTGCACCCTTGTTCATCAGGGATACTGGTCCGTAATTCTCCTTTTTGGTGTGGTCTTTGCCTGGTTTTGGGATCAAGGTAATGCTGGCCTCCTAGAAAGAGTTTGGAAGTTTTCCTTCCATTTCCATTTTTTGAAAGAGCTTCAAAAGAATAGGTATTAATCTTCTTTAAATGTTTGGTCGAGTTCCCTTGGGAAGCCATTTGCCCTGGGCTCTTGTTTGTTGGGAGATTTTGATGACTGCTTCAATTTCCTTGCTGGTTATGGGTCTGTTCAGGTTTTCTATTTCTTCCTGGTTCAGTTTTGGTAGTTGATAGTCTCTAGGAATGCATCCATTTCTTCCAGATTGCCTAATTTGTAGGCATATAG